TGCTTACCTCCCCCGCCTCAGTGTCTCTAAGGTGCCGATCGCATCTCACCGCAGTCCGTCTGCCCTGCTGCAAACACGACCACAAAAGCAGAAAAAAACCCTAAAGTACTTTTATTCAGTTATTAAAATCCGTTGGTGAAGAGGCTAATATACAATGGCTGTGCAGGAGGAAGCTGTGAGGGGAGAGCCCCACACCATGTTCCCCCTCAGGACCTGCTGTGCCTCCCCATAGCTGCTGACCCCATCCTGCCCTGAAAACAAAAACCATTTAAATAAAAATCTTATAATACTTTGATTCAATAATAAAATCGGTTACTGAGGAGACATAGACACTGTTTAGTGTACAGGGGAAGCTGTGAGGGGAGAGCCCCATGCCATGTCCCCCACAGGAGCTGCTGTGCCTGCCCTGAGCTGCTGCTCCCACTCCCACGTTGGTAACACAACCACAAGAGCAGCTTAAATAAAAATCCTAAACTACTTTTATTCAAGAGTTACAATCTGCTGCTGAGGAGACTAATATACACTGTTAAATCTACAGGGGGAAGCTGTGAGGGGAGAGCCCCCACCCTGACCCATGAGGGACTCCCTGTGCCTCCCCTGAGCTGCTGATCCCACCCTGCCTTTCTGCCCCTGAAAACATGACGACAAAAGCAGTTTCGTTTTTTTAAAAAAAACCTCCTAAAATACTTTTATTCAATAATTAAAATCTGTTGCTGAGGAGACTGATATACAATGCAATGATTTAGTCTACAGGGGGCTGTACAGGGGAAGCTGTGAGGGGAGAGCCCCTGCTGCATCCCAGGATGGTGCTGAGCTGTGGTGCAGGTGCTGGTGCAGCACATGGTTTGCTGCTCACATCGGTCTCTGAGCAAGGCAAAGTCCTTCTCCATCCCCACACTCTCCTCCCTCACACGTGGCATCTCACACATGGTAAGGGTTTGTGCATGATACAGCACTGGCCCATGCCAGATATTTTATGTTTTTGCATGATACAGCACTGGCCCATGCCAGATTTTTAAAGTTTTTTTTAAAAAAACCTCCATGTTTAGGAAGGAACTTTTCTCACAGAAGAGAAAGAATCTCTTTTTAAGGTCACTTTTTGAAACCTCTTCTTCCCCTCCCTTCAACCCACACAGTGAAATTTATCAAGTTTCCAAGTAGGTTTAGCTGTAAAAATGAGAAAAAGGCAAGTTTCAACCCCTGATCTGGGAGACTAAAAAACATCTGAGAGGAAGCCACAAGAAGCAGCATTGACTACTCTCACAGTTTTCCCAAATTAAAAAGTTTTTAAAAGGCAACAGTCAAGCAGCATTGACTACTCTCACAGTTTTTAAAAGGCAACAGTTGCTTTTCCTGGTTCTGTAATTTGTTAAACAAGCCTAGATATCTCAAGATCTGTTATGCAACATCACAGCAAGTGTGAGAGAGTGGGGAGGGAATGGTTTACACCGTTGTGTTTTTTGTTTTTCTATCCTTATTTTTTTAAAAAAAAAAACAACCCCCGAAGATGCAGCATATGTTAATATCTATACAATTCCCTTCCAGGACAACAAACCGTTGGTCAGTAGTGATTCAGGACATTAAGAACATGACAGAGAGACAAGCAAAACCCCAAAAACATAACGAGTCACATGTCAGTTTTCTGCCAGGGTTCTCTGTACACAGCTAATATACACACATGTGCTTCGAGCACATCCTCTCCTCAGCTTTCCAAGCCTAGAGCTGCCTTTTTTTTCCCCTCCCCTTCCTCATGGAAAAGAGGAGGAAATGAGGAGTTGTATCCCCAAAGGGAGTCTGTACAGCTGAGAAGCAGCCCAAGACAGGGAGCTGGGCAAGGAACAGGTCGTTCCCCTGGGCATGTTCTCCTGGCAGAGGTGTATTGCTGAGCCACACGAGGTATAGTGTCAGTTCCAGCCTGATGGCACGAGAGACGTGTTTGTTCCAGTGAAATGCTACATTCAGACAGGATTCCCCTTCCCTGGCCCAAAGCCCTTGTCTGGATATGTCTGGAAGGCAAATCTGGGAAGTGCTGAGGTTCCACCCTTGCTATATTGCCTAGGAGAGGGATGCAGAGCTTCCAAGTCCTCTTGGTGGGTCTCTTGCTCCCTTCGTGGAAGATTATGGTCGATGGTACCTGAAAGCCAAGTGAAAAATCCCAGTGTTATCCTTGGAATTCAAGTTAAATGGTTCCTGAGGCACTGCAGATGAGCAAAAAGAGCAAATCAAACCATCTCTGAGCTCTCAGCCCTCAGTAAGGAGGTTAACATCAAACCAGTTCACCTCCTATGCTCTGCAAACACCCAGAGTGCGAGGACATGACTCACTTGGGCTATGGTCCCAGGTGACTTCACAGATAATATCTCACTCCTCACCAAGGTGTTTTGTGGCTGTGGCTTCTGCTGCACATCTCTAGCCCAAAAAAAGCCAACTCCAGCTGCAGTCACTCTGGTTTCAGGGATCAGCCACTGCTCACTGAATTCCCAGCATCAAAGCCCCAGTTTAAGGAAGAACAACAGTTTGTGTCTGCTACTGCTCCAGTCATCCCCCAGGACTGAGGCAGAAATGGACACTTAGTCACCAACTGCTGCACAGGTCATGGTTTTAAGGTCTTAGTGTTTTGCCTCTCAGCACAGTTCTCCCAACAGGACTGAAACTCTGAGCATCTCCTCCTCACCTGGTGAACTGCTTGCTCTCCTCATGCACTTCCATTTCACAGCTCTTAAACTCATTCAGCTCCTTCCTGATGGCAGCCTGCACAGAGAGGGAGATTGTTCTGGTCAAGGAAGGGGCTCAGATGGCAGCAGCCACCCAACCTCTCACAGTCCATTCGCACTAAACTTCATTTAATCTGCCCCACCTCCTCCACACTGAGGGCTGGGCAGTGCCCACGGGTGGACAGGGAGGACAGAGACAGATGGTTCTCTGCAAGCTTCTTGTCTGAGCCTGCAAGGAACCACATTCCTCTGACCCACGCCCTGGTGTGTCCAGGGAAGGGAATGGAGCACAAGTTGCTGCTGAGGGAGCTGTGGGGGCTCAGCCTGGAGAAAAGGAGGCTCAGGGAGGACCTTCTCACTCTCTACCACTCCCTGACAGGAGGTGCAGCCAGGTGGGGTCAGGGGCTGCTCCCAGGGAACAAGGGAACAAGGGACAAGCTGAGAAAAAACAGCCTCAAGTTGTGCCAGGGGAGGTTGAGGTTGGGTATTAGGGAACATTTCTTCACCAAAGGGCTGTCAAGCCCTGAACAGGCTGCCCAGGGCAGTGGTGGAGTCACCATCCCTGGAACTGTTCATGAAACATGCAGATGTGGCATTTGGGGCCATGGCTTAAAGGTGAACATGGTGGTGCCAGGCTAACAGTTGGACTTAATGACTTCACAGGACTTTTCCAACCTAAACTACTCCATGATTCTTCTATCACTCAGAAGCTGAGGCAGAGGCCACCCTGGTCTGCAAACCCACCTGGGCTCCACCTCCCCACGGGGGCAGCAGGAGGCAGTGCAGGGGTGAAGGGACACTGGTGCTGCTCAGTGGGGCAGCAGAGGGAAGATGAAGAGATGAAACAGGAGGAGCAGAGCAAGTTTCCTTGGCTCACACCCTTTTCCATGGGACACCTTGGTCTAGCTCCCCCCACACCTGGGCCAGGATCTCCCTGTTACCTTGTCAGCTGGTGTTAGCTTTGTCCATGGCTTATCCGCTCGCCGGTCATAGTCCTGAGCATCTGTTACTTCCACATATTCGTTGAACCTCAGGATCTTCCTGGCCTGCAGCTCTGCCACCGTAGGCCTTTGGCTAAGCTGAACACCAGCAAGAACAGAAGAAGTTAGTCTGTGCCTTGTCCACAAAGCAGATCAGGACTAAAAAAACTAAACCCAGTTCCCTTGCTGGGCCTGAACCACAGACACTGCTCACAGCCTGCAAGGGAACGGGCAAACCCTCTTACAGACTGGGTACTCCTGCTTGGATCAGGCAGGCTAGGGCAGAACCCAGGACACATTGCCACAGAGAAGGACACTGAGGGGACTTTGGGAACAGCCATTAAAGGGTGACAACCCTGCATGACAACTAAGCTTCAGCAATGGCAACACTCACAGGGCCTGAGGAAGCTTTTCCTAGCCATGAGCAACAACCACAAGAACCTGGAGGTAACAGCTAAAAGCAGCTATTGCTCTGCTCAGCTCCCACACTGCTGTTGCTTTAGAAATGAGTTTTGGGGAGCCTGGCCTGAGTTGTGGCCGCTGCCAGAGCAGCCAGGCCAGCAAACCTTTTCAGTGCCAGGTGCCAAATTTAGTCCTCATCTCTCCTGTTACACTCACTGCCAGCTCAGATCTGTCACTGACAAACAAGTCCGCGGTGCCAGCGGCTCACTGTGGGTGACAGCCCATGTTCCAAAGTCACCACAGTCAGAGGGCACTGGGGACACTTACACAGACAGGAGCCCTGTGACTCCCCGCCATGGCACCCAGGCCGTGCTCAGTGCCACCCCCACCCCCAACGGCTGTGCCAGGTGGCTGTCACCGCGGGCCCCGCGGTACCTTTCTCGTCAGGCGCCGCTTGATCTCGCGCTTCTCAGCCTGGCGGTCAGCTTCATTCTTCGCTGCCAAGGGGGAAAAAAGTACGTTTTTCATGTGAGCATCAGGCTTTGAAAAGTGCTTTCTGGACTGCACAAAGAAGAGTGTTGAGCTGGGTCAGATTAGCTGTGTGTCTGGGATTAACACGGGCACAGAGTGCCAACCAACTCCATCCCCTGAGTCACCTCCCAGGCTGACAGGAGCAATATGGCCCTTACACAGCACTAATGAGAATCACAGAATTTTAGGGGTTGGAATGGAGCTTAGAGATCATCCAGTGCCAATCCTCTGCCCTGGGCAGGGACACCTCCCACCAGAGCAGGATGCTCAAGGTCTCATCCAGCCTGGCTTTGACCACCACCAGGGTTGGGGCATCCACTACCTCCCTGGGCAACCTGTTCCAACATGAGTCAAAGATTAATGGCCACATAGCCCAAACACATCCCAGCCACTCTGCAGCTCGCTCCTTCCCAAGGCTACTATAGTTTAAAAGAGACTAACAGCACAGATAAATATTTTAAATGAAAACTTCCTGAACTGACATTTCCCTTTCCTCAAGATGTTTATTTAAAACTTTTACAGAGCAAGATATGGCCAAGAGAAACAGCCCGGAGAGGTGCACTGCTGCTTTTGGGATCATGCAAGGCAATGCTGTAATGTCTGGACCACAGAAAAGTCCAGCCCAAACAAAAACACCTTTAACAGCCCCTGCTGGGTAACAGCAGAGGCTGAACCAACTCATACACTTCTCCCTGAGGTGCCAGGCAAGGGACAGGTAGCCTGTCTGTAATCACAGAATCCCAGAATGGTTTGGGTTGGAAGGGACCTCAAAGATCAGCCAGTTCCCCCCCCTCCCAGGGACAGGACACCTTCCACTAGCTCAGGTTGCTCCAAGCCTCATCCAACCTGGCCTGGAACACTTCCAGGGATGGAGCAGCCACAGCTTCTCTGGGCAACCTGTGCCAGTGCCTCAGCACCTCACAGGGAGAAATTTTTTCCTTATATCTAACCTAAATTTCAGTGTAAGACCATCTCTCCCCTTGATGGAATAATATTAAAATCAAGATTATTTCATCTCTCAGGACACCTCCAGGAGCATTACTTACGCTGCAGTATGTTCCTCTGCTCCAGTTCTTCTGGGGTTGGTCTCTGGCTCAGTCGCCTGAAGAGAAGTGTGACAAGTGTGTAATGGTCACTCATCAGCAGGGGATGAAGGATACAACTCCCTGGTTCTGGTGCACTGGAAGCCTCCTCGACACCCCTCACTCACCAGTGGGGATCACTGCTGCCCTGCTTTATGCTCTGCTCCAGTCAAACAGCTGCTCAGCCACCAGCACAGGTTTGGAAAGCGTTGTGGCCTCTCCAGAGCTCAGAAGCAGCTTTGCAGGGAGCTCAGACAGACAGCAGAGCCTGGATTGTCCCCAGCCTCAGCTTCATCCACCACCACCAGCACCACCACTCAAGCCTGCACCTGTCCACACCATCTACCTTCCACAGCAGTAACATTTCTGTAATCCTTGAGATTCTCCCCTCCCAGTCCATTTAACCACTGGAAATAGGGGCTTGTCAGGGGATATTGTTCAGCTCCAGGAGGAACTCCCAACTTTTCTAAGCAAGGAGGAACAGCAATACACAGCCTCCCAGCCCTGACCCCACAGCCATGTCCAACCACCCATCCTATTCCAGCACAGGCTGCTTAAACAAGGCAACAGCTTTGTCCCCTCCCACCCACACATGCTGTGCCAGAGGTTCAGACAGAACATCCTCCTCATTCCCCATACCTGATCAGCGTTGTCCCAATCTGCTGTCTAAGCAAGGAGGAACAGCAATACACAGCCTCCCAGCCCTGACCCCACAGCCATGTCCAACCACCCATCCTATTCCAGCACAGGCTGCTTAAACAAGGCAACAGCTTTGTCCCCTCCCACCCACACATGCTGTGCCAGAGGTTCAGACAGAACATCCTCCTCATTCCCCATACCTGATCAGCGTTGTCCCAATCTGCTGCCGGATTTCGTTCCTCCTTGCTTTACAATCTTCTCCTCCTGCGGTGCCGTTACGTTCCCCAGCTTTATAGCCAGCGTGTCTTTCCTCTTCACTCTGTTTGCCAGAGTGCCTGCAGGGAGGCAGAGCAAGGAGATGTGGCTGGAGGCTGCAGAGCCCGAGCACAGCCATCCCAGCCACGTGCCCCTGGCAGTTGTGCTGTCCCCTGAGGGAGAGCTGTCCTCTCTCCTTGCACTTCCAGGCTCAGCAGCCAACACTCCTGCATGACGCCCACATGCTCACCTAATGCTGTCCCACCTGAAGGGCTGGGACAGCACAGGCTGTTGCAGGAGCCATCTGCAACTGGAGGGGTGCATCTCAGCAGGTGAGTGTACAAGTTTGGCTGCAGAGCCTTTGAAAAAGCAAGGCAGAGGACATGTGGTACATCAGGAAACCAAGAACCAGCTGCTTTGAAGCGCTGTGGGGAATCAGCTCTTTGATCCAGATCTCAATACAGCCAGGCACACATTCAGCAGAGAGAAAGACAAGCCAGCTGCAATGTCAAAGCCTTACTGTTATGGCTTTCATCTTCTTCCTCGTCCTCATCATCTTTGTACAGGACAGGTCCCTCCGAGTCAGAGTCGCTCATCCCTTCATCTCCTTCCTGCTCCTCTGGCAGGACCTGGGGTACCAGTTTGGGGATGACTGTGACAGATGGCACATCTCCAATATATACACGAGGACCTGAATTCTGCTCCTCTTCCTGGTCATCTTCTTCCTCTTCCTCATCGTCTGGACTAACGAGAAGTACACTATTACATCTCTGAACTCATAGCACAGGGCTGGGAAATACCCCGAGATCAACACCTCCTTAGCTTTCCTCAGGGTAGCCCAAAAACCAGAGGTGCAAGAGCTACCCCACAATCTTGCACTGTCCCTTCTCTCCAAAGCACAGGGAGCTCTGGGAGAGGAAATGCCAGAGGCAGGTTCTCTGCACAAACAACCCTCTCACCCCCTACTTTGGGACTTGCAGGTTCAGCTCTGCTGTAACACAAGACAGTCCTTCTCCCACTTCTGTCTTGCAAAATTAAAGGCTAAGGAAGGCCACAAATAGATGAAATCCAGGACCTTGTTTTGTCTTGGTGCAATTAAAGACAGGCCAGGCCTGGATTCCTGACATCAGCCTGTTTGCAGTCTGGAACCCATTTCCCTTTGTGAGCAATCCAATCCCAGAACCAGGGGTAATTCCACAGGGAAGATGCTCTGGCTCTGAAGAGGGTGAAACACAGATTTGGCCAAGAGGCAAAATGGTTTCAGTATAGGCACCAGCCCTGCCCAGAGCCCTCCTCACCCTCCCAGGAGAGCCCAGCCTGACCCACCCCCGTGCACACGTACGGGAGGTACTCACACTTTCAGCATCTCGATGGTGACAGGCAGAGACCTCGTCCTGCCCAGGGTGCCACTGTCCTCTCCAAAGCCATCATTCTCGAAGAGCAGCGAGTGAGCCCTGTGTTGTGACCCATCGGGAGGGGGAGTGACAGGCAGGGGACTGGCCAGAGCCTGCTGGATACGGATGTGCAGTGGGATTTGGGGCAGGCGAGGCAGCACGTGAGGCTCACCAAACCCTTGCTCTGTTGTCC